TAAAATTTTATATGCTACTGAAGATTGGTATTGAAAATCACAAGTTACAAAAGCTGTACTTGTTTTTATCCAAAAACTTTTTGTTTTTATTTTGCTCATTTACTAATTGCCTATCTATTCTTCCTGCTAAAATTTAATGTTGAAAACAATATATTAACCAGAAATAGGAAAGAAATACACAACAATTCTCTACAGACGTGTATGGACTGTATATGAAATTTGTGTTCATTTTATTATTTCCAAACCCACACTGTTTTATGCGATATTTCATAACAGTTACCATATATCAATTTTAATTGCAATAAACCGGAATATTATTCCGGCAAAGTCTACTTCAATATCCGTATCCAGATCAATCGATTTCCCAGTATACCTAGCAATAAAACTAACTGAAATAATTGTACTTAATAATCATTCGTTATTTAGCAAATAATTGCTCTGCTGGGTTCCTGTCACATTTCCTTGTTCCATAATTAGCAAGTGTACAAACAATCTAACTAAAGTAAAATATAATTACGAAATAATTCGGATTCAAGGAGATGAACAAATGAAAAACCAATAAAAAATTTAGAAGTATCCGAAATACTAATTAATATTAGTTTAACTTTGCACCTAAATACAAAAAAACCTGTTAGGCTATGAGCAAATTAACCGAATTAATTGTCTAGATTTACATGCTTGACCAGAATGCACCTTTGCAACAATATACAGGGTGCAGTCTTTAAACATCCAGCTGGATTGATTTTTTGGATCAAATTGTATAGTTGCATTTGACATCAAAAATCGACGGATGCAAGGAATTTTTCGAAAAACGATTGCCTAATGTTTTATCATCATTCTGAATATTAAGAGCGAATAATTTTTGGTTTATTTAAAATATTAATATTATCAAAAATTACCACTTGTTTCTTTTGGAAATATAACAGAGTTTAGTTTAACGATTCTTAGTGCCTACGTTCTGCAGGTCTCTTTCTGCACCTTCAGGGCCTAGGAGTTAACACAAAGAAAAGAAAAATAAATTGTTTAACTTTTCTAAAGACTTACATTTCGAATTAATGTATCATTTGTATGTGTATCAGCTACATATTAAAAATTAAGTTAAAATTTAAATTTGCAAATGCACAGAATGCATAACGTGTAAAATGAACATCCACAGTATAAAAGTTATTCTTATCGTCTGATGCTTTAAAAGGGTATGCGTTTTTTAAATGTTACTACACAACTAGGCAAAGAAATAGTTGCAGGATTATTCTTATTACACATACTGGATTTAATATTAATATAATATACTTAATGGAATGTGTTAAAATTATTCGACCATTGGCAACTGAGTGCGAATTTCTTAAACATGAAAAAGTTTAAAATGAACACGCTTGGTTTTATATAAACACGTATAAAATATACAAGTTAGCACACCTTTTTTATCTTCTTTATCATCAGAAAATTTTGATTTGTCCAAGCGTTTGAATACTACATTACCCATCATTCTGTATATTCATCCAGCCTATAAAGCACAACCATTATTGGATATAAAATTTAGAAACTTTACCATAATTTAAGCGACTTGGTGTCCTACGGTTTTCGGAATCCCACTGATTTTGTCCGGGTTCGAAATGATCTGCATAGACATGAATTCGTGGGTTGAGTTGCAAAGTTAACCGAAGATTTGTTTGGAAAAAAATGTCGTTTGAAAATTAGCAAACAGCTTTAATCGATACACGTCTTGGGAAATAACCTAGAAGTGAATTCCTGAAACTGCTTTAGTCAACCTCGCATAGTTGGACATGTTAAAACCAGATACTGTCAGCAGGATATCATAAAGTGTATAACAAATTGCGAGCTTACATTTCAGCTTGCTGATTTAAATATATGCCCGCCTTTTGAAAAAAAGTTTGGCATTCCTATGTAAGAAAAAAAAACAGCTCCCGATTAAAAATCTACTATTCGATACAAGGTTGATAGGATTTTTTGCACCCGTTCTTCTGATTTTTTATAACGACCTATTTTGCATACAAGTGATTTAGGTGTGTCGCGTTCACCCATGAAACATGGAATGTTAGTTACAGGTTTCCTACAGGGAGAGTAATTAATGTTTAATGGCTTTGAGTGTAATTATTGCAATTTGTAACCAATGTATTTCCTATCAGAGAAACTGGTCACTACGTGTAAACTAACTAATAGACATTTCAAGGGTTTGCGTACAATAGGTACTTATTTTCTCTGAAGAAAAAATTAAATTCATACTTTTATATTTGAAATCTGAGACCCCGTACAGGGATTTCTGCCCGATTTATTTTGGTTCTTCAAAGTTGGGTGATGGAAAATTAAATTAGTAGAGAATTTAGAAGTGTTCAATATAAGATATCGAAACTTTTATACGTATTTTTGGTTGTCACATGATTTCATATAGATCGATTTATTTAACAATTCTGGAAATTACACGTTACTTTTATCTCTAGAGGAGTTTAGGAAAAATAATTAGTTCAGAAAATGTTTCAGTATGTGGGCGCATTGCTCCATTATTACGTTTGCAACTATTTTGAGACAATGTAGGTATTTACATATTCGAAAAACATATATATTTTCTCCTGATTTTTCACAATTTTATATGCGGCATATATAAAAACAAAGCGGTATTATCAGTTGGGTTCAACGGTACTTTTTCTTTAAAAAACACAAATTAACTATAATAACAAATTTTGTAGTAAGATTTTTGCTTCGCCCAACATTACCAGAGTTTTTGCTGACTTAAATAAATGTTCGGTCAGGTGATCTTCGGTACAACAAGCTGAACATTAAAGAATGAGAGAGACCAAACAAAGCTTTTCTATTTATTTGGCAGGAATTTTTACTTTTTTTATTTTGTTACTTGTCCTATTGCAAATTATGAAATGGCTCGTTCCACTCAGTTTCAATCACACAACAATCTTCTCTAAACTTGTCTTGCAAAAAATTTAAATATCTCTTTTAAAGGTCATTTACAAAATCACTGCTTTGCTCTAAACGTTCATATTTTAAGAGAAAATTATCGGCCAGTGTAACATAAAGATGATGTGTATTCTAAAAATGAAATGAATGAAGAATCTCGTGCTTTTCCCAGTGACACTATTTTCTTATGTAGATTCGTAGTCAGCACTATTAACATATTTATTCAGGCGTTTTTATTCTACATTTTTACTGTACACGAGATGCCAACAAACATTTTCCAAAACATTCACATTGCAAATTACAAATATATTTTCAAAAATAATTGTAGTTAATGTAAACAATTCTTAGAATAATGTTTGATATTAATTACGCATTTCGTTAAATTATGAACTATACAAATCTTCAATTAAAACGAATAAACTGTCAAAAGCGAAGCATAGTTGTGTCCAGATTAATAAGCATTTGCTCTAACTGAAACAACACTTATTAGTAGCGATAAAAATATTAAATATTGAGGTTTACTTATTACAAAAAAGAACTTGTTTTCATAATTACGAAATTCAGAGGACCCTTGAAGTTTAAATCAGCATACAGATACGATAGAAAAAATTGAAAAAGTCCTTCTACGGTTTGTTTTTCACTTCGATGAGCTTTCAATAGAAGTTTTTACCAGTTAAGCCATAGAAGCAGAAATATGAAATTGTAAAAGCTTAAGACGGAATATCTGAACTATCGAAAATATGTTACCAATCGTAAAAATTGTTTTTACTATCAAGATTTTGTAATTTCCAAAGGAAAAAATTTCAAGACTGTAAATCTGTCTAACTCTGCGAGTTTTTCCTGTGCTATTTGACTCTGTTTTTCAATCGAATTGTATTCCTCCTATTGGATCTTCTTTGATATTTGGTAATATCCCTTTGATGTTATATACTTTCATTCGATCTCGTTATTAAAGTCGCTAGTTTCCAATAAAAACGAAAATAGAAATGTTTCCTTGTCCTGAAAAAGCGTCTCGTATTGCTTCCCAGTTTGAGACACTAAAGTCTTATGAAACTTTATATCGCTTTCTCTCGTCGTTAGTTCGAAATACGTTGCTTGAAAACAAACTTCGTATTCTCTACGCGAAAGTGGAAATCACTATTGTGTTGTATTAATTTTCTTGATTGTTTGGATAATGATAGTAATGTATTTTTTGGTGTGGTTAATTCCCGATATTTTCAAACCGATTCAATTCTTTTTACATTCGATGTACGAATTATTTAATTCGATGCTAGTTAGTATCTTCATCGACACTAAGTAACAGCCCAATTTTAATCGTTTAGTTTTATACCAGTTAGCTGATTTTCGCTTAAATAATCGCTATTACGTTCTGTCTACTACTCACAAGTTATATATTGTGAGTAGTCTGATGACATTCCAAAGTACAATTTGCTAATCCGTCAATACTTACTGGATCATGAAGATATAAATTGTATTTCAACCTCTTTAGATGTATTTCCGATAATCCATGTTCACGCCTGAATGATTATCTTGATCTACTGACTACATCGAATACATTTAAATGAAATCGGTTTATTTTTATGAAGAAAAAAACGCAATGTACAGTTTGAATTTAGTTATACCGATCAGCGGATTATGTACATATTTGATTAGCAGAGTCGGATTAGGGTTCTGTAAAAAAATTAATTGAGTTTGTTATTTTAGGGTCGCCATATACAAACGTCGCTACACAGTAGTCCATTACATCACGGCATCCTCTATCGCAGTCTTCCTGAAGATACGCCGTCCATCCAGTCGCACTACGAACCAAAGTACGAACACGATCCAGGTGGTGGTGTTGATGAAAATGATGATAAATCAGGGTTATTGCATACCGCCTTGCCTGCTCAACCAGGGATATCCAGGTGAGTCCTAATATTCATAAACACGCATTTTCAAAAACATGTAATTATTTTGATCATTTGGACCTACTGACTCGAGTGTTAGTCATTGTGGGTTTTGTGAAATAAATTTAATAACCGGTGAAAATGGAAATTTTTTGTAAGACAAGAAAAGGCAAATATCGGTCTAATAGCGGAAGCTTCCATTCAACTTTGTTTTCTCCTTAAAAAAAATTAAATCTTATAAACTAATG